CAGAGCCATGACACCTGCACGAGCAGCCGTGTGGGAATGTGCATGTGTCGTTGCTAAGAGGTTACACGCTGGGTGTGTATGGGATGGTGTGGATGGGATTGATCCTGCCTCAGGCAGGGAGTTGCACTAGATGAGCTATGGAGATCCCGTCCAGCCCCGCTTCTCTCATTCTGTGAGCATTCGCAGGGTCGTGCTCTTAATTTACTACAAAGGAGTAGAGATGGGGGGGTGAAGACAGGTTGAATTTAGCCTTGCATTTAATTATGTCTTTTTATTTTAAATAAATGCAGCGTTCCTTAATAAGCTTCGAGGCAGTCGAGAGAATCCTGCAGGTATTTCCCCCCTTGCCGCCCACCCCAGACTTTTATGGAGGTCCTTTTATCCCTGCGGTGCTGCAATAAAAGGACTATTACAGTGTCCTGCCAGCCCAGCTGTATCACAGAGGAGCCATGAAACACTCGGACCCTGTGGCTGAGGGGTGGCCACCCTGCCACCGGCCTCTGTGTGTGGCATGCAGTAGGATCGTAGGAAAAAAGGGCTGGCAGGGACCTCAGGAGGTCACATCTAGTGCAACCCCTGCTCCAAGCAGGACCAGCCCCAACTACATCATCCCAGCCAAGGGATATCAAGCTGGGTCTTAAAAACCTCCAAGAATAGCGGTTCCACCACCTCTCCAGATCATCTTTCCAGTGCTTTACTACCCTCCTAGTGAGAGAGTTTTTCCTAATATCCAACCACAACTTCCCTTGCTGCAACTTGAGCCCATTGCTCCTTCTGTCATCTGCGCCCACTGAGACCAGCCCAGCTCCATCCTCTTTGCAGCCCCCCTGCAGGGAGGTGAAGGCTGCTATTCAATCCCCCTCGGTCTTCTCTTCTGCAGACTCAATCAGCCCATTTGTCTCAGCCTCTCCTCACCAGTCCTGTCCCCCAGCCCCACAACCATTTTCATTGCCCTCCACTGGACTCTCTCCAATGTGTCCATGTCCTTTCTGCAGTGGGGGCTCACAGCTGGACACAGGACTCCGGATACTAGACACAAGAGATGGGGGAGGGAAAGGAAAGCAGAGCAGCAGATCAGGAGAGAACAGAAAGAGCAGGGGAGCAGGTTGGGCCAGGAGCACAGGCAAGGGAGCAGAAAGCAGAGCAGCAGAGCAGGCAGGGGAAATGCATCAAGGTGGCCCTCAAGGAGGACATAGGGTTTAGCTTGTGGGATGCCTGCCAAAAAGCTCCCCCCCGCACTGCCATAGCCGATGGGGCTCTGCCAGCAAACTACTCATGTTGATGCAGGTCTGGTGGCTTGTGCTGGCCAAAGTGCCCGTGTCTGGGGGAGTCCTGGTGACAGATAAACCCCTTCCTCCTTGCAGGGCTGCATTCGCACCACTGCAGCCTCGCTGCTCTACTTAATCAGGAGTAGCTCCTGTAGTGTGGACGTGGCCTTAGATGTTTTACCACCGGAGGGTGAGAGCTTGGCAAGGAAACCGTCTAGCAACTACCTAGCAAGCCAAACTGCCCTAGAGGCAATGTGGCCTGGTGGTGAGGACACCGGACTCGGCCTCAAGACACCTGGGTTATATTCGTGCCCTTGCCACTAACCAGCTGGGTGGTTCTTCTTGTGCCCTTGCCATCAATTAGGTGCTTTTTCACCGTCTGCTATTGTAATGATGGGGTATTTAGGAGATTTGTTGGAATCTGACGGGCCACTGCTATGGCCAGTATGGCAGTGGGAAGCCACTGGGTGATACTGGGTGACATCTTGGGATCCTTGTCTCCTCATACCCATTGCCTGCCTTCTCTGTCCAGGCTCCAAACTGGTCCGGGTAGGGTGGTCTCCTCTCGGACGCCCGCGCAGCACTTAGGGGACGGGCTGCAGCCAGTGGGCTGCGAGTGTTAACCATCATTCAAGCAGTGAAATGATGAGAGGGAGGAAAAGAAACGTAAGACACCACTGTGCAAATCAAATGGGAATTTTAGCAGCATTTCGGGTTTCCAAATCTCATCCTAGCCAGGAAAAAAAGGATCTCGGCGAGTCCTGTGAGAAAGCGGGTCAGAGCATTCGTTTAGATGGACACTTTTTAAAATGAGCTTTTGTAATAATAATAATAATAATAAAAAAAAAGATTCCTTCTGAATAGTTTCTGACCCGAGGCTGCACCTTTTCGATGACATGCTCGTGCATATAAAGCCTATCGGAAAGTCCATTTCCTTGTCAGGCTGCTCAAATTCATCATTATGCAATAAGGTTTAATAATCGTTAGGAGCTAATGAATGCCTCGGCATGGATGAGCTTAGCAGACCAGAGCCTGACTGCTTTGCACGGTCTCTGCGTTTGGCCAAGTTGCCATTTCCGCTGAGGATGGATGACGGAGGAGTGCTGTAAACCACGCAGCCATCCCTTTGCTCCTCAAATGATGCTCTGAAATACCATCTACCTGGAAGAGACGCGGAGCCAAAGGGAGAGGATGGATTTGGCTCGGGGAGCGGCTGTGGGAGAAGGGAAGGCGGTCGGAACAGAACGGCGTGAGCCGAGTTCATGGAGACCTTACCGCTGCAATCAGGGGACCGCTCTGCTGCTGTTAGCTTGCATGATGGGATCCACCTGGCTAAGGGCCCCATTTTGCTGAGCTCTGTCCATGCCTATAAGGAGTGAGAGTCTCCTCCTAGGAGCTACAGCTAAGGATTCAAGGCAGATTGCTATTGTAGGGCTTGGGGCTTTCCACCCGGGGATGGGGGCGATGCTCTGGAACGAAAATCCAAACCCAGCTGCTGGACCGAGTCGTTTACATGGCTTGAAATGTTGCTCCTTCCTTTCCTAGGCAAATCCTGGCGGCAAGACCCTGGAGGAAAGGCGATCCAGCTTAGATGCGGAGATCGACTCTCTGACCAGCATCCTGGCGGACTTGGAGAGCAGCTCCCCGTACAAGCCTCGGGTTCAACAGGTTCGTGCCGAGCCCTGTGCTTGCATGGTGTGTTTTGTACACAGAGAGTAGAAATTTGGCTAGAGGCGATTCCTGGAGCCATCTGCAAATGGGTTTGTGCTCGCTGGAAGGAGCCTGCCCGTTTGCATCTCTGGATCATCCCGGCATGCACGCCAGAGGGAAGGCAGCACTCTGGAAGGGGACCTGCTCCAGGGTGCTTTGGAGCAGACGTGTTTCGGCGTGTGTTTGAGGTGATAGAAATGTGACCGTAAAAATAGCATCTTGTCCTCCAGGCTTTTCCTTCCATGATAGCTGCTGCATGAACAGCGTGCTCCCTTTACAAGTGCCATTACGCTGTTATCTGTCGCCATTGCAGCCTGATCCAGATATCTGAATACCAAGCTGTGCTCGTTCTGCTTTCATGGCCTAATCGCTACCAGTGAAGATGCATGGATCATAGCTCAGCTGTCACTGGTTGATAAGGCAACAAGGCAGGATGGGATCCCGCTTGCTGTTCCATGCCTAGATCTGGGCTGCAGGGCTGACGGGAGTCGGGTAGATTTTTATCACTCAAATGCAGGGAGCACCTAGGAAGCAGATGTGTGAATGTTATGTGCTGTGATTTTCTTTTAGCCCGTGGAAAAGAGACTGTCTAATGGCATTTTGGTAGGGTGTCCAAAACCAGCTGAAGTAGTTACACATATTTTTTCTTCCCTTCTCCTAATAATGCTATCTTCTGTGTGTGTAAAACAAAAAACTGGGTGTATGTGTGTGCATGCCCCTCTCCCTCTCTACACATGCAGGTTGCTGTGTCTCTACAGTGTGCATGTTCAAATGATGTTGGAATTGGATTAAAATTTCCAAGTCAATCAAAGATAAAGGTGAAGCAGCCTGTGGGCCCTGTGCGTGGGGTTTGTCTGTATTTGATTATGATCTCCTTAGGCCCAAAAGTTTAAAGTGAGCTTCAGCTCACAAACATGCACACACACGTGTGTGTATGTATGTACGGGTATGTGCATGTGTGTATACATGCATATATGTGTGTGCATATGCACATGCGCATGCATATAGATGTGTGCATACACACTTGCACATGCCCAGGCGCATGGATATAGATATGTGCATACACTTGCACATGCCTATGCACATGCATATAGATGTGTGCATACATACTTGCACATGCCCAGGCGCATGCATATAGATGTGTGCATACATACTTGCACATGCCCAGGCGCATGCATATAGATGTGTGCATACACTTGCACATGCATATAGATGTGTGCATACACTTGCACATGCCCAGGCGCATGCATATAGATGTGTGCATACACTTGCACATGCCCAGGCGCATGCATATAGATGTGTGCATACATACTTGCATATGCACATGAGCATGCATATAGATGTGTGCATACACACTTGCACATGCCAATGCATATGCATATATATATGTGCATACAGACTTGCACATGCCCGTACATACATACTTTGGTTAATCTGTAAGGTGCTAATCTACCCTGTCTTCTGGTTTACCTTTTTAGCCATTATCTAGAATGCTTCACATGCCTGCAGTGATGGCAAAAGTGTACTGTGTGGATGAAATTTGTAAAAGTACCCAGTGTTGCCTTAATTTGCTTCTGCCAGGGTCGATGAGAGTTTTAAAACTCGTGCACTGGGGAAAGAGTTAGTTTAAATGCCAGTGCTTTCGATTCCTTTCCCTCCCATCCCATTTGCAAATCAGTTAGTGGTGTCTTGGCCTTCTGTTTTGTTTGATTTTTGCATAACCAACCTCACTGCAGTAGCCTCAAAACAAAAAAAAATTGGCCTTTTTTTTTGTCTTTATGGCTCTCATGCAACATGAAACGGCTCTCATGCAAAACTACAACATCATCCTTCTGCTTCTTAGAAGCAATCTGAATCAGTTACTCTGTATAAAACTGTGGACAAAGTAAAGCAGACATGAATTTGGGCCTTTTCCACTGGGGGAGAAACATCATTAAGATAAAAGGTCAACCGTTACTATGGTGCTACCCATAAGTGGGGTTGTGTTCAGGTATCAGGATCATGGCATTCAGTCATTTATATTTGCTTGCATTCCTCCTCTCCGGGCTCTTTTGGATACCTCGCTAAACATGTCATGGGGTTGATGCGACAAGATGGAGATGTGCTTGCCGTGGGTTGTTTCTTTCATCCGAGGTATGGAGTAGCAGAAAGGACAGTGTTCTTGTGTGGCTTTGTACCCCGAGGTAAAAATCAGAAAAGCACATACTTGGCTACCTAGGATCTGATGGCACAGCCTAGTTTCAATGGAGTCGTGCCGCGTATTCCAGTTCATAAAGTTGGTGACCCTGAGATCTTGTCTCCTGATTCATGCACATAAATTCACAGCTTGCACATGCAGTTAGGTGAGATGTTTCTGCCTGTAATTAGAGGCCAGCCATGCAGATTGCCCCGCTATGTCTAGCAATGTCAGGGTGATCTTTTAAAGGGGATTTGCTCTAACAGCCAGCCACAACAGGGCAGGAGAAAAGTGGAAGCATGGCTTTGATATGGAGTGAACTGTCTCTTGTTCCATTCATTAGACTTTTCAGTATTTATTGGTTAACATAATTAAGTCCTGTGAAAAATATAATTACACCAACTATTAGCCATAGCTGCTAGAAAAAGAAAATGCCAGAGTTGAACGTGTCATCTGCTGTAATTAAAAAGAACTTGAGCAAGTCCTTGAAGGGTAGAACCGAACTGCAGGGCTTTGAAGTTTGTTCTTTATTTGATCTGCAATAAGTATATAGAAAAAAAAAAAAAAAGAATCAGTCACTTGACAGCTTTGTAGTAGGAATAGGTGAGACTGAACTGGGAAATCAGCACATTTATTGCATCAAACCTTCACAAACCACCTCCAGCCGACCCAGGTGATGGGTCTAGCGAGGGGAAGAGAGTCAGGGCGGTCTGTGTAGCAGACCATTTTCCCCGTGTAGTTAAACCACTCTGTTTCTACCACTATAACTTCCCCATGGCACGCTGCTATTTTGGAATAAAAGTGCTTATGGGGGGAAACCGGAGGAGTCCCCTTTTCTTTCAACACTTCCATAGTGACACCAGCTAAATGGAGAAACAGCTTTCTTATGCCGAAGCAAGTGTGTCCGCAGGGAAGTCGCAAGGTGTCGTGAGAGAGGTTTACTTCACTCATCTCACCTCCTATGGGTGTAACTTCCCATTCGATGTGCCCTTGGTCTTTTGGACCATGTTTGCGCTGTCAGTGGGACCCAGGGAGTAAAGAGGGTAGAATCTGGCCCTAAATAAGGATTGTGATGGTGATTGATTGTTGCCTACGGTATCTTAAAAGTGGTGCCTTATGGAAACGTCCTGTCTATAAATCAGTAGGTCCTAAAAGTAGATGGAGTTGCTTTGGTTTGACTCTTGAGGATCCAGGTAAGCGTGTAGCCTAGAAGTTGGGTAAGGTTTCGGATGGGCTGGACTCCCAACCGAAATGCCTGGTTGCAGCTCATGGTGACGCCAGTGGTATTGAGTACGGAGAAAGCTTGTGGGATCCGCTGCAGCACCCCGGCTTCCTGACCGGTTAATGACTTCAGGTGCAGAAGATGGAAAATTCAGGCTGGAAGGGAGCTCAGGAGGTCACATCTAGTGCAACCCCCTGCCCCAAGCAGGACCAGCCCCAACTACATCATCCCAGCCAAGGCTTTATCTAGCCGGGTCTTCAACACCTCCATGGATGGAGAGTCCGCCACCTCTCTGGGTAACCTGTTCTAGTGCTTCACCACCCTCCTGGTGAAAACATTTTTCCTAATATCCAACCTCAGCTTCCCTTGCTGCAACTTGAGCCCATTGCTCCTTGTTTCATAGCTCTGGTGAAGGTTGGCTTCACCCAATTTTTCTCCGAGTCTATCAGCGTGACTCTGGCCCGAAGAGGGGAACTCAGTAATATCCCTTAACCTTGGGACAGCATCTTCGTTGCTCCCAAGTGGGGTAAAGTGCAGTGGGTGATGGTTTCACCCACCACTTAGCTCAGCAGGAGAATGGGCCCAGGCCATTTACCTCTCTTTACCATCTCTCCTTATGACTGTCCGTCTCAGCCCGGGGGCTGCTTTACCTAAATGTTTCTTCCATGTCTCTGGGCAAGCCGCTGCCTCCTCGTGTGACTCATCTGCGACCCAGGGAGACCGCAGAGTGAAAGATCACTTCAGTCTTCTCTCCCTAGTTAGGTTTTGTCTTCTCTCCTGAGTCAAGAGAGTCTCTTGTGGAGGAGGAGGATTTCTAGACATCATTAATCTGTCTCATGTAGGTCAGTGCAGATGAGGAGCGGCTTTCTGTCCGCATGAACCTGCTGGTTAGAGCTTGTGACCTACCAAGGAAAAGCTCCATAACTAACCACAGGGCCACCCAGACCCTGGCTATTAGTGTGAGTCACAGGAGCCACCAAAAGTCATGAAAGTGTTGTTTTCATTTCAAAATTGCACACTTAAAGGACAGCAGGAAAGCAGAGGATGTAAGCCTCATCTTTAGCTGCAGCACATGGGAAACCAGGCTTGCTTTCTGTTGTGTGATCTCCATGAAAGGTCCATGTTTAGGGACCCCGGCTGCATATGAACTCCTGCAGCCATGGGGAAGGAGAGGAAGGCTGTGAAGGAGACTCTGCAGAGCCACAGAGCTGGGCAACTCTATGGCAGGAGACACAATATTTTGGATAACCTGACATTGCAGCTGCCCATCTCAGTCTTTCATGCTTGGAGAAAGTTGTGCATCACGTCAGTTAGGCTGAATGAGAGGCTTTCTGAAAACCCAAAACGATGACCAGGAAACCCTTTGTTGGAGGAAAAGAAATGTTCTTGATTTAAAATATCCACGTGCTTGAACAACCTTGAAGTCGGTTGAAAAATTGGAAGGGGAATTTAGAGGAAAATTCCATAACAAATTCTTGCTCTGGACAAATTTTGCTAAAATTTTGAAATTTGAAAAGTCGCATACTCAACTTGAGTAGTGCATAGTCATCTTGTCTTTTA